AAAGCCGGAAACAGCCGGCAAAAAGAAGCTGAGGAAAAACTCAGTCAACATCCTCTCAAGTGCTTCCTTCGCTCCTTCTGCCGGCTTCCACTCGGGGATTTCGGTGCTCCAAGTCCCTGCACTGGGAGAAATCTTTATAGACAAAATCATGTCTTAGAACTAGAAATGAGCTATATTTTAGGATTTATCCCTCAGTGGACTTCCTTCTCAGCATGCAGTCAGCGATGTGGCCGCTCAGCCAAGCGCAAGGACAGCTAGCGAGGAAAAGGACGAGGACGAGAAGGACGACAGCGATGCTCCCTCACCTTGCTCATGCTGATCACGTCTATTTATTGTGCACATAATATGGGAGCAGCTCCAAGCTGCCAGCTCGTGGTCCTGCTCCTCCTTGGACTCCTCCCTTTTCTGCTCCTCCGGCTACGTGCGACGCATGCATCGCTGGACACGCTTCGGGGTCCTTCGTGGCCGCCCACCCACTCCCCGCACTTTTTTCCTTTGGACACACTTTTTTCTTTTCCTATTCCTATATATTCTCCGCCGGGGAAAATTCAATTATCGAATGCGAATTTTTCTCCTCGTTTTTCGCCTTTTTTTTCCTCTTGTTTTTTCTTTTTGTTCTTTTCGTTTCCGCTTCGAATGTTTTTTTGTTTCAGCCGAAAGCATCCCAAGACGAACTTTCAGCGTATCAGCATTTATTTGCTGTTGATTTATGCAGCGAACACCCCACCAACCCCACTCCACCTGCCACCCCCATATATCTGCAGGCCCCCTTCAGGGGCTGCTCGCTCAGTCAAACAATCGACATCGCCATCGACATTGCCGCCCCATCCACGGGCACATTCAGAGCTCTGTTGAATATTTGCCAAGTATGCTGATTGAATTTTTTCCAGATGACTAAATGATATCAAGGATATTTGCCAGGCAAGCGCGACTGCCTCTGCTTCTGCCTCTGCTCCTGCCAGCAGGTTGCGCGCCTTTAAGCCTATGAATTTTCAGATTTTCCTGGAATTCAGGCTCTCTCTTCTGTAATATGATTACATTTAGCCAGTGGGCAGCTTGGCATTTGCTTAAATATTGCTTAATTTAAGGCAAGGGTTTAGCAAATAAAAGGGATATATAAATAGATACCCAAGGGGCCATTGACTTTGGTTGCTCATAACAATATAGGAATAATGCCAATGCTAATTAGGTTTAGCTCGAAGGCCTTTTGGCTTGCACGTAAATATTGCTTCATTTTGGTGAAGAGGGAGATGTACTTACTAATGCCTAATAACTTAAAGATACTCTTTACTGTACCTTTAAAGAAAATCTCTTTCTCTCATATTAATCCTAAGACAGTCTTATATCTCATCTTTCCCTATCAAACTCTAAACGCTTTGTGCAACTACCAATTTAATTACAATTCCTGTTAGCAAAGCCCCGCCCACATTTGTAAAGGAGATGCTTCCTTCTTCCTTGCCAGCAAACCGATGTGCATCCTTCAGATGAGTCCTCCTCCTTCATCAGCCAGCTACACATATCCATAAACCATTTAAGCAGCGTTGCCGGCACATTGACAATTTCCCATTTGCAATTTCCAATATTTAGACAGGCAACTACGACTAATAATCGTGTTTGGCCGGCGTAAAGCGAGCATGCAGTTGGCAAATACTCGATATCCCATATCCCATATCCCATCTACCATATCCCAGATGAAGCCCATCGGATTGGAGGGATAATTAACACTGGTGGCAGCACATCGAGTGGGCTAAACAGCACAGCCAGCGATCTATTTGCAACCGTTGCCCTGCAATAATTAATATGCCCAACGTGCAGCAGCAATGTGTGGCAGAGTGTGGGGGTTATCCAGGAACTAAAAAAGGGGGTTTCATCGGTGGGCTGGAGTGGGTGAAAATGTTTCGAGGTTGGTGGGCCATAAAAGGCGTTAAATTGACACAATTGAATACACCCTTGAGATTCGAGTGAGTGAGGGTTTTCTCACTCGTTTGTTTTTCGATTGCCGTTGCAGGAACTGATGTTGCTGCGGGGTTTATGGTGTTGCTGCTGCTGCTGCTGTTGGGGGTGCATGTTTAACAGCAACTGTCAACATCTTCATCATTGCGGCACCGCAAAAATCCGCGACACAAATGTATCCTGATGACAATGCCTCCCCGTTCATGTGAGGGGGCATCCAAACTCATCTCATATTTGGCCTATGCAAATATGCGCGACGATTGATATTTGCTATGAAAATTCGAATCCAGAAACGTGACAATGATTCCCCTTCAGACATGGAATCAGTGAAAGGTGTGAAATGCTTAGTGAAATTATGAAAGTGATAGGAGGAGTGCGACATGGCAGAATCATCTGAAATTCAAAAGCTAAGGAAAAAGATGGAACAACAAAAGAAGATTTTGATGGTGTACCTGCAGATTTTTATTCATGAGTCCACACATTCCTAAATAACTTTATTTATATCAAATTGGACTCCACCCAATGATAATTCCTTTATATTTTTTGTAATTACTTTCATAGCACTATATCTCATATGCATTCCACATCTATCGAACCAACCCACTCCAGAAAATCTAAAGACTTTCATAGATGGAAAATGCCTGGAAACCCGACTGTCAAAACAGGCAAACAAATTGTGCAAATAAGTCGGGGAAATGTTATTTATGCTCGTAAGATTTTCTGTGATTAAATAACCAAGGCCCAGGCCCAGGCTCAGGCCCCTCGATAGCTGTTCCAAGATGACAGCAGTTGCAGCTCAGCTGAGCTCCAAATGTGTCAGCATCGGTTGCATATTAATGGCCCGGAGGTGTGCATGCCAATTGTCATGCGCTGAAATGCTTGTTAACAACGTCGATTGCTTTTGGGCAACCAGTCCATAGCATATAGCATAGTATCCCCCAACCACAATTTCAACCTCAACCAAATCCATATCCACATCCACTTCCAGCCAAATCTCCTCTGCTCTCCCACTTTTTCCTTTTTTTTAATCAAAAAGAAGTCGATGCTCCTGACTCCTGACTCCTCCCCCGTGGCAATAACGCCACACATTTGTAATGTTGCTTCTGTTTTTGGCTGAAAGAGGAGCCCAGGAAGCCCAAAAGACAGCAGAGGAACTCCAGGGGAAGTTAACACTGAGAAAAAGTAATTGGGGTTTTATCAAAATTAAATACTAAATATTATTAATCTAGTTATAGTAAATGGTGGTGATTTTAGTGATATTTTTTTGATATAAATTAAATATTAATAATTAAAACAGCAATAAAAATAAACTAACTAATTTAATGTATTACTGGCACCATCATTTTTATCTTTTTCACAAGTTATTAGCAAACACTAAAGATTTTTATGGCACTTTACGATTAATACTAAAACACATATTATCAATTTTATGACTTGGCATTTAAATTTGAGCTTAATACCAACAACTTTTAACTTTCAAATCGCAGAGTTAAAGAAAATGGTTTATGGTTTATGTAGACTTTAATATATATTTTAAGTAATATAAATTTTTATTCCAAATAGTTACTATTTAATGTTTTAGATTTCAGCTTCTTTCAAACTTTCGTCAAGTGCATCTCTTAGATGCATTTTACAAGTTACTTTAAGGCAATCAATTTGTAGTCGAATCCCATGGTCAGCGAGCGGGCGGTCGGGTGATGGGCTGGAAAAACCAATCAAAAGAGCGTTGCGAACGCAAATTGAACGGCAAATGGTTGCAAGATGATATTTCAATACACCAGCTTGCCAGCACAGGGATCACCTGTGCCCCAGCAGAAACACAGCAAAGAGCTAACCCTTTGACGCCCCCTTTGGCCAACATCTTTTTTGGCCATAAATTATCGACGGGCGACGCCTGCGCGTAGTTTTCTTACTTTTTTGCAGTTATGATTATCGCGCCAGGATGGTGGAGCCTAAGCCATCTCTTCACCGCTTCCCTGTTCCATTCCTGTGTGTGCAAACAAATGTAAAAAATTTTTAATTGACTTTTGCAGTTTTGCAGTTTTCTGCAGTTTTTTTTACCATTTTTTTCAGTTTGGTCGTTGTCCGAGCCACCGCCAGTTGCACTTTTTATGGCCCCTCGCGTGCATGGCAGCTTAAAAGTTAATAAAACACGCCCAATGATAACAAGCCGCCAACAACATACATATATTGCCCCTGAGGTCTTCATCATCGTTTCGTTTTTCCACCAACATTGTGCGAAGATCCCAGATCCACAGATCCCCAGAATCCCTCGTCGATCCTCGCCAGGAGTTTTCGGAGCTTCGAGCTCGTAGAAAAACAATCAATTAGGCCCACAAGTAGCTCCCAACTCCAAGGGAGCGCCATAAGTCCCAGAGTCACAGGTCCAACTCAAAGAATCCCATTCCCATTCTCCAGAAGATCATGATGGTGATGATGGGACTCGGACGGTATGGTTCGAGTGTTGCCCAGTGGCATCGACACGACTTTGATTCTCTTTCCGCGCCGACTGGCCGGAGTTTTATGGCCTGCTTTGGCAAAATTTATGTTACATTTTTATAGTTCCAGTGTAAATTGACTTTTAAAATGCAAAAATTTATCATAGCAACGGGCTGTGCGGTATGCAAGGGGGAAGTACCGCGCCAACTTAATTGCTTAGGCTTCGCAAGACGGTGGCAACTCTGGCGGAAGCTTTGAAAAGTTAAAGAAAGGAAAGCTCTGCGAAGGGGGCGATAAACATCTGCGCGGTTTCAAGAGGAAAACAACCCCCAAATTGGTCGCTTTTGGAGGTTTGTCTTTTGCAGATCTCATCTTAAATACCCTTTAACATTAGGAAATATGAAATCAAGAAATTATAGCTACTGAATAGCAAAGTTAAGCCTTGGAAATACAAATTTTTGGGTTAAATATAAATTGTAATTTGAAGGCACAAACCCCATCAATTAGTCAACGTACTCATCCTTAGGAAACGAAACAAAACACAGTCGGAAAAGCTTTCCACCGAGTCAAAACATTTCGCAGACCTTGGCACTCAACGTTGTTTAATCCATATAGTACCTTTTTTTTATTAATTCACCAGTGCAGTTTTTACTCAAACCATAGGGAAAAGCTCCGGAAAAGTTTGGGTTGCGTGGGTGTTGTCCCCACTCCACGTTTTTGCGAGGTCTCCAAGTAGTCAATTGCATGACGAAACAGTCGCGGAACAGTTGCGTCGCTCTTTGATTAGCTGGAAAGCGGGAAAAATCCATAAATTGATTGAGGAAAAACAGGAAAACTCAAATAAAATGCTGCTGCCGACGGTAAGCGGATCATCCGCCGTTGGATACAAGTGGAAAAACTGTTGTCGGCGCAGCTGGGAAATGCTAATGTCACCCGTATCTCCCAAGAATCTAAGGACCACGGCCTTGCTGACCAGCATCTATCAGTTGGTAAGTTGGAGAGGATATATTCACACTATATATCCCCCACCGATTATATAAGAACTCAGAAAATAGATAAATCAGGCGGGGCGCAGCGCACTGGCACGCAAGGGGACCGAGATCCCCAAGCAATCCAGGATGTGCAGCCGCGGCCCCAAATCCAAAAATTACGCACTGGATATGCAAAGCCATACCCCACTGGGCGCGCAAGGAGACGTCGAAGGCGGCAATTGGGCGCTCGCCCCCGCCCACTCAAGAGCGGGACGAAGGAGACACTCCCGCGGCGCAATGCGTCTGCACTTATGTTCCGTGATGGGGAACGTGCTAGGACGAGCACCCTTTTAAAGCTTTGTATGGAAATATAGAGGGAGTCAATGCTAAATCTGCTAAAACCAGTTGGGAATTGTAGCCAAAGCTCGCGAGAACCGTTCAGTCTGAGGGGTACATAGGGGTAGAAGACACAGCTGATCGTTGTGATGTTCCGGTTTCCGTTAACACTAAATATTTATCGGTTTCATTTCTATAATGAAGATCACTTTAAAATTTGAAAATTTTCTTATATATTATTTTTATTTAATAAATAATATCTTAAATTTAAATATTGTATTTGCTCTCCCTAGTTGATCTCGCACTGTGCCCTTTTCCTGGTTCTTTTGGGCTTGGCTCATGCTGAGCAGATGTGCGAGGTCTTGGAGCTGGACATCCTGGACCAGAAGGACAATGGTTTCTACAACATGTCACCCTTCCACAACGATCTTCGCCTGCAGACTGCTTCCCAACTGGCAGCAGCCACTGAAAATCTACTCTACGTGATGGCTGGAGTTGCGGGAATTTACTCCATCAGTACCATATCCCTGTTCTTCGGAGTCTACAAGAATCGACCGGGCCTAATCATTCCCTGGCTTGTTGTGGAGTTCTTTTTGATGATGGGTCTGGGAGTTCTAGTTTTCATGCTAAGAGATACGAAAGTGGTGCAGTTACTGGGTGGTCAAGTGCCCTACTGTAAGTTAGGATCGTATACAAAAAAGAGTAGAGTTTCATACATTTTCTTGACTAATTTTTCAGTTATCGTCTGCTACATCTTGATCTGCATGGACTACTGCAAGTGGTATGTTATGCACAGCTTCTACCAGAGTCTGCGTACCATGAACAAACTCCGGGAGATTGCCACTGTGGCTATACCTTGTCCAGCTCCAGGAGCCGTAAGTTCAGACTTTATATGTACATCATTTATTAATTTCCTCATCCATAGATACCCTATCGTTTCCAACGCGAGCACATGTATCTGGGCAGCAATGGCTATAAGCACATCCTTACCGAATCTCCCGATGGCCAGTGTTAAGTAGATGAAAAGAGATTCAATTTTTGGAACTTCCCCATCAGGTGTCTTGATTGCAGTTGTACTACAGTTTCTGTATTGCAAAACAGAGTGTGATATGGTTATAGAAGAGATACTATTTTAGATAGCCAACGGATATGGAAAGAGGAAGGCATATTAACACATATTACGAATCGTTGAAGCTCGTCTATATCCCAAGAGGAAAGACAGTTCAAAGCAGTCGGCAATATTGGTTTGCCGGCAAATACATAAACTATTTTTGTGTAGAACTAACTCTTAAAGTCGCGTAAGCCACGTTACTACTCCAGCACCTAAATAAAAGTTTGGAAGTGAAGAAACGAATTTTAAAAATAAAATAATAACTTAGAAATTGCCAGAACTCGAACTCGGGACTTCCAAGCGAAGTCCGCACACTCTAACCTCTAGGCTACGAAAGCAAGAGAAACGCGAAGGCTTAAGTCTCAGTTTGATGCGGAATGTTAGACTCGATTGATTTTAAATTGGCATTCGAATAAATATCAACGAAGTTTAAAGTTTATTTTCTTTGTAGAAATAACAGAAGTTTACTATACCTACTAAATATGCCTTAAATTCAGTTAACTAGCAATATTTTAAGTATTCCTGTTTTGTAGCACAGAACAACAAAAGTATGAATATCAAATAAAAGTGCAACATTTTAACATATCATAGTTATGTTTTTCAAGGATGCAGTTCTACTTACCTTCTTAAAAATGGATAAACATTTAAGGAACTTGTGAAGTTTTAAGTGCTTTTATTATTTGGCCTCAGCTACAGATGCATTTTAACTAATATTTATCTATTTAATCTTTTTTATTATATTTCCCATTAACCTTTCCTTCCTTTTTGCTTCATAATGGGTGGTGCCAGTGTGGTTCCTACAGTGGTGGTGCTGGGCGTGGTGCTTCCCATTAGACTCATATCATTATCCAGGTTGTCCATCACAAAATCCACAACGGTGATATTAGTAGCTCCCTTCAGAATCCCCTTATCTGTGGGAATACTAATCTGGAACTGTAGCAAAACCACCAGATAGGTGACCATTGTGGTTAAAAGTCCTTTGAAGAGACTTCTGTTTACGTCGAAGAAGCCACCGCAATTGATTGTTGATGGATTCATCTCGGTGGCTCTTAAGAACATATTTATCTCCGTCTGGGCATCCGAGTTCATCCAGTTCAGCTCCACCATCAGCAGTTTCTTTTGGAAATTAGTTCGCACATTAACCGAGGCATAATGTGCCTCATCGCAGATATAGAAAAGTAGTCCAATGTTCCACAAAGCTGTTATAGTAAGTCCTATATCCTTGATGCCAAATCCTTCAGAGAGCTGGGACATTAGTCCATAAATCGATAGAGTGATGATAAAGAAGAGGTAGAGACTCATGAAGACGAAGGTGTAGCACATGGCGTTTCCTGTATCCCGGGTTAGTTTACTCAATCGAAGCCACAACACGCGATAATCCGCCACCATGGCAGCAGGTCCAATGTGTTTCAAGGCCTTCTGGAATCTCTCCGCCAAAAGATGAGCCGTAATACTCATGGCCTCGCAAATGAGGAACCACCAGGCACCCAACATAGCAGTTAAGTTATCCAGGATGCAATATGGCACCACTTGATTAATGTTCAAATCCGACATGGTAATGTGCGTGATGACCACCGATAAAACTGAGAGGATCGGCAGCACGGTGGCTATGTAAACAGCTTTCTGTCGAAGCTTTAGAGGCAAACTATGCCCGGAAATCTGATAGTACAACACCTCGAAGTCATCCCAATCATTGAAGAGCTTAGCTATTTTCCTGGCCTCATACCATAAGATGGGTATAATCATAATGGGCAGGATGTTGACCAGAAACAAGTAGGCAATCACCGCTTCCTCAAAGGGTCCACTCAATGATCTCACGATATGGATGCGATTGTTAGCCACATATCCCACGTAGCACTAAAAATTGGTTATTAAGGTCAAATAATAAGCTATGAAAGGTTATAATATATTATGCACTCACTGCCAAGAGCACAAAGAAAACCACTGAATAAGTAAAGGAGGCGGAGTTCATTTCGAACTTGGCCCGGGCAGGGCCACGTCTCACGATAGGTAGTACACCAATAATCCTTAAGAACCAGTTGACAGGAGCTATGTTCCTATAGAAAACACTCTGGAGACAAGAGAATCCTTTTTCATAGACGGAAATTTAAAGCAGAAAATAAATCCACTAACCGGCGTAAACTCGGGATTGTTGGATGCAGTGCTCTCGGCGCTCTTTTTCCTATCCAGAGGAGGAGCCTCATAATCCGCATCCAAACGCTCCGCCAAGCCAATGGAGTACTTTCGAACTCCGTACAAATATGCCTGAGCATTAGCACTATTCAAGGGTTTAGCGTTGAGGAACACCGCGTCGGCTTTCTTGCGTCGATAATAGTTGGCCATTCCGGAGAGACTGTGTTGAGAATTTCCTTGTCCATGGCCTTTTACCACTTTTTCCAGACGGAGGCATTAACCATGCACTTGCACACGCCTCCACATTGACCACGCCCAATATTGACTTAGAGCCGGAGTTTTAGTTTCCTGTTGATGTGCGTTGTTTGTCTTTTGAATGCATTAACCTTAGCCTGGTGTCCCAATTTCAAATTTATGTCAATGGCGCGCAAGCTGAGAGTTTGCAGCACTGGCTGAGGCAATTTGGTAACACTTAAGTAGAGTTGCCAAGAGAAATTTCAATATTTGGAAATTTCGGTATATTTAAAGTTGGTTTTGAAATATTTATAAAATCGGAAGGTTTAAGCCATAAATAACAATTTCCTATAAGCTATACTGGGTTATTAAGAAAATAAGCAATCAAACAAGATGTAACTAAATAATTATAATTCAAACTAACTGTGTAGGTCAACAATCTGGTCACACTTGTGGGTGTGGGTGCAAAAGATAAATAAATAAATATTCTAGTGAAAATGGACAGGGAAAAGTTAATTGTGCCCAACCAGATTGGCTACCTGATACTAAAGGAAGATGGAGCAGTCCTGGAATCAGGTGGAGAGCTCAAGAACGATGAGCGCAGCGCTAATGTGATAATGGGCCTTCTAAATCTCACAGAGAGGTGGGTATTTAAACAAAGGTAGTAAGTGGATAAATTAATAAATGCTCCTAATTCTTAGTATCGACGAGTCCTTTATGCCGAACAGCAGCTGTGAAAGAATCACCATCGACTACGAGCAACACTACTACAGCATCTGCATGTCCAATCGTCGAATATACGTTGTGAAAATCAGCAAATCCCATAATGGAGTCACCACAACCACCAGCTCCTCGTCATCCAACAGTGTGTATAATGATGCCAGCGACTCCGGGGCGGTGCTGGCTTGAAATCCGACTTCGGATGCCCGATCCACTTGCAGATTCTGTTGGCAGGGAAACGGGCAAAGACCCCACAATTGGCGCACTCCCATTCTGTATCTGATTCTCCTCTTTATTTGTCAAAAAATACATCATCTGTGAGCTCCTGCTCGAAAATGCGTCTTGCTTCCTGGGTGACGTCTAACAAAGTGGCCTTGCTATTGCACAGAATGACATAGTATTGTCTATAGTTACAACGCCTTTTTACAATCCAGTAGTCATTGGTCGTCTTCACCTGGATCTCCTCTGAAGGAGCACTCTCTATCTCGCCCTTTCCACTTGCATTGGCCAGGTCTGCTATTATACTAAGGACATTTCGGGGCAATCCATGGGGAAGGTGCCTCTGAAAGTTCGTGTGATGCTGCAGGCTCTGTTCGTTGATAAACAAGTACTTGGGTGCCGATTCGCTGTTACTGATGGAGTTTTCCTGACCAGTCGCACCAGCTGCCTCCTTGGTCAACTCGCTGGATATATCACGGGCTAAAGATGTCAGATGTGGAGCCATGTAGGCATGGAGTTCGTCATATAACTCTTTTTTCGGGGATGGTTGGTCAGCTGCAATTTTAAGGATATTTTAGATGTTATTTACAGTTTTTTCCTAGATTCCAACATACCATCCAAAAATAGGCAAAGCGTTATGTGCAACGCTCGATATATGAGCATATAGTAGGGCTTTGTATTCTTTTCCAGGGTGACATATACTTTCAAGGGATCCTCCAAGTTATCCTTCTCCTGACCGTCTCCCTCTCCATTATTTTGGGTACTCACAAATCCCCCAACCTGACTTTCACTTATGCTTCTTTTCAATGAGGGGGACACTGCAATAGACGAATTGCTGGCCTCCACTTTCAGCACACGTTCCACTACATACGAATGCAAGCTGTGCAGATCCTCCGGGTTGAGTTTTCCACCACAAAGGACCTGCTCCTGGTATAGCATTATGCTCTCCTTAATGTCGGTAAAGGTCTCACCTAGTGTGCCGAAATTTTGGGCACGCAGAAAAAGGGATTTGTCCAGGGGAAGATATTGTATGGAATGCAACATGTCGATAATATCACATTGCGAGGGATCCTTCAGGTTTCCCAAGTGATGATCATAGAATTTGTGGAGTTCTTGGCAAAGCAGTTCCCTTCTCTTATCTGGATTTGTTTCGTTACTTCCAACGGATGAGAAACCTCCGTGTTGAAAGCGAAACATTAGATAGCATTGCCTGAGGATAGATCTATATATCCTGTCCGAGATTTCTGCCCCCCGATAGTCGGCCACCTCCACGCCATCTTTGAGCCGCACCTCCTTGGGAACATTTAAAACCAAAACTAACCAATATCCTGGCTCTGGTTGGTAAAAAAGTTGGGTGGTTTTCTGAGTATGCAGCGCCTGGCAATCATCTTCGGAAGTAAAAGTTCTGGGAAAACCGACAATTATTACTTTAACTTACCTTCTCTCTACGTATAAACTTTGATATTTACCCAGTAAACCTTATAATAGCCTCACTTAGACCTACATCCTTTATTTTAGTGTTTAATTCAATATCATTTGGATGGTAGAACAAAACCTTTTTGTGTTCCTGCAAACATATTAGTCATTTAGGGGCGTTGCCTTAACTTTAAATAGTCTAAACACACCTCTCCCTCAATTTGTCCAAAACTAGAGTTGAAAATATAAAAGCTACGTAATGTAATTTCTACGCGCTGCAGTAATTTAGCCATTTTCACAAATTACCAACTTAAATTTGGCAAATGGTAAATAATCAAAATGTACTAACGCCTCATTTTTTGCCAACCAGGGCTGCTGCACACTAAATCTGGTATTTTGGGTATTTAAAAACGGCACAAGATTAAATTAAAACTACCAAGTCATTTCAAATTATTATTTATTTAAATATGAATTTGAATAGAAAATTTGGATATATTCAAATCAATTTAACCAGTGATTTCTTGGTCTGTACTGAAATTTTGATATGTCCGCCCCTCCATTCATTGTTTGCTAATCTTGATTCTTGAATGAGTCTCGTGTAATATGCGTGCAACGAATTGTGTTTATTTGGAAATGTTTAGATTAAGCCTGGATTCCTCCGCGGAGACGGAGCACCAAGTGAAGGGTGGACTCCTTCTGGATGTTGTAGTCGGACAGTGTGCGTCCATCTTCGAGCTGCTTTCCGGCGAAGATCAGACGCTGCTGGTCTGGAGGGATACCCTCCTTATCTTGGATCTTGGCCTTCACATTCTCAATGGTGTCGGATGGCTCCACTTCCAGAGTGATGGTCTTGCCAGTCAGGGTCTTCACGAAGATCTGCATACCTCCACGCAAACGGAGAACCAAGTGAAGAGTGGACTCCTTCTGGATGTTGTAATCGGAAAGAGTGCGGCCATCTTCGAGCTGCT